CAGGAAGAGAGGCAGAGCCACAAAGGATAATGGAAACACAGAGGACAGAGCCACCAACTCTGCCTGGAAGAATCAGGTTAGTAGCCAAAAAAATACAAATAAAAAAGTAAAGAGAGGAGAGAAATAAAGCAGCCCAGGCCAATAAACCACACACATGAGTCATAAAAGGGCTTGCTGAATCGAGGACGGCAAGCTCAGTGGGACAAGCAGCCAGGGAGGTGCCAGGAAAGGCGGGGCCGGCTCAGAAGGGCGGCCGCTGCCACACCAATGAGTTTACATGCTAACTGGTAAGCAATGTGAGGCCAAGAGAGGTGAGTTCTGTTATTTTTAATGTTTCTGTACTTGAAAGGCAGATAGAGATCTTCCATCTGCTGGTTCACTCCTCAAATGCCTGCCAACAGCTGGGGCTGGGCCAGGCTGAAGCCAGAAGCCAGGGATTCAAGCTGGGCCTCCCACATGGATGGCAGGGCCCCTAGCACTTGAGCCATCACCTGCTGCTTCCCAGGGAGCAAAATCAGCAGGAAATTAGAATCCAAAGCGGAGCTGGGAATTGAACCTAGGCACTCCAAGACAAGAAGTGCATGTCCCAAGCAATGCCTTAACCACTGCACCAAATGTCCACCCGGCCAGAGAGACTGAAAAGGCCAGCCGGTGCCTCGGCTCACTAGGCTAATCTTCCACCTAGCAGCGCCAGCACACAGGGTTCTAGTCCCGGTCAGGGCACCGGATTCTGTCCCGGTTGACCTCTTCCAGGCCAGCTCTCTGCTGTGGCCAGGGAATGCAGTGGAGGATGGCCCAAGTGCTTGGGCCCTGCACCCCATGGGAGACCAGGATAAGTACCTGGCTCCTGCCTTCGGATCAGTGCGATGCGCCAGCTGCAGCACGCCGGCCGTGGCAGCCATTGGAGGGTGAACCAACGGCAAAAGGAAGACCTTTCTCTCTCTCTCTCTCACTGTCCACTCTGCCTGTCAAAAAATAAAAAATAAATTAAAAAAAAAGACTGAAAAGGCCAAAAAGGTTTTTGGGGTAATAACTCTGGCCTTAGGGAGGCCTGGCTAAAGTGGGGAAGACTGGGCTAATTCCTCCCACATGTCTTTGCTCTCCAAACTCAGGACAGGGTGCAACACATCAAAGAGTCCATGGCACTGAATTGTTTCCTCCTCAGACACACCGGGAAAGACCTCTTTATCTGGGGCCAGCGCTGTGGTCAAGCCTCTGCCCATGGTGCCGGCATCCCATATAGGCACCAGTTTGAGTCCTGGTTGCTCCACTTCCAATGTGGCTCCCTGCTAATGGCCTGGGAAAGCAGTGGAAGATGGCCCAAGTACTTGGTCTTCTGCACCCACGTAGGAGACCCAGAAAAAGCTCTTGGCTTCAGCCCTAGCTGTTGCAGCCATTTGGGGAGTGAACCAGTGGGTAGAAGATCTCTCCTTCTATCTCTCCCTCTCTCTGTAATTCTGCCTCTCAAATAAATATATATACACACATACATATACATATATATGTGTGTGTATATATATATATATATATATATATACATATACATACATATAGGGGCCGGTGCTATGGCGAAATGAGTTAAAGCCCCAGCCTGCAGCACCAGCATCCCATATGGGAGCTGGTTCGAGTCCCAGCTGCTCAACTTCCAATCCAGCTCTCTGCTGTGACCTGGGAAAGCAGTAGAAGATGGCCCAAGACCTTGGGCCCCTGCATCCACGTAGGAGACTCGGAAGCGGCTCCTGGCTTTGGATGGGTCCAGCTCCAGTCATTGCAGCCATCTGGGAAGTGAACCAGTGGATGGAAGACCTCTCTCTCTGTCTCTACCTCTCTCTGTAACTCTGTCTTTCAAATAAATAAAATAAATCTTTTTTAAAAAAATATCTTAAAACCCCTTCACCTGCACAGGCAGGTCACAGTGAGTCTCACCTGAACTCCCAAAGCTCCTTTCCATTCTAGGACTCGTCTAGAGTCTGAGAGCCAGCGTTATCACTTCACCAAGACCACAGGAGAACCAGCTCCTGAGTCACACACACCTGGGTTGAATTCCACTCTGTCCCTTCCTGGCTGAGGAAAAGCTATCTAACATCTCTGAGAAATGGAGATGACAATAATAGAACAGCCCAGGGGAGCGCTGTGAAGGTTACATGAGACATGCCAAGCAAAGTCCTTCGCACGGTGCCTGGGACGCAGCGTACAGGGTTGCACGGGGTCCCCCCAAAACTCACGGCCACCTACAATCTGTGAGCGTGACCTTATTTGGAAACAGGGCTTTTGCAGACGCAACCATGTTAAAATGAGGTCATACTAGATTAGGGTGAGCCCTAAATCCACCCAGAGTGACGTCCTTATAGCAGGGGAAGTTTGGACAGAGACAGTCGCAGGGGAGGAGTTGTGTGATGACAAAGGCAGAGACTGGGGTGGTGCATCGATAAGCCAAGGAACACCAAGGGCTGTCGAGAGAGTCACCAGAACCCAGGAGAGGAACAGATCTTTCCCTAGAACCTCAGAACGACATGGTCCTGCAGACACCTGGCTTCCAGAACGGTGAGAGAATAGACTTCGGCAGTTTTAAGCCACTCAGTCCTGGCTAATTTGTTAGGGCCACCCTAGCAAACTAACACCAAGTAAGTGCTCAGTAAAATCAGTGTGAGCTGCTGTGATAGCTGTGAATAGGATCGGCTGGACACAGAGTGAACTTGGCTGGCAGAGTGCAAACGTCTGGACTAGAACAAGGCCAGGGGCTGGACTCTGCCAAGCAGCTTTTGAAGACCGCCTAGCCTGCACCCTGATGTTTCCAGCATCCCCCTGCCAGCCCAGGCGTGGGTGCACTGCTAGGGAGTCACGGAGCAGAAGTCCTGCAGCCGCCTCAACCAGGGGAGCCCCGGGCAGTGCTTCAGAACAGAGCCCAGGGTGAACTCAGTACAACTCCCCCTTCCCAGAGGGCTTCAACACCCCTCCTCCCCCCACCAGATCTGTCCAGAAGGCAGTGGAGAAATCACAGCATTTGGTCTCGGAATACTTCCTTTTATTATTACTAATTTACTTATTTGAAAGGCAGAGAGGTACACAGAGAGACAGAGACAGCCACACAGACAGAGATCTCTAATCCGCTGGTTCACTCCCCAGGTGCTAACAGCCAGGACTGGGCCAGGCCAAAGCCAGGAGCCAGGAACTCAATCTGGGTCTCCCATGTGGGTAGCAGGGACCCAGCTACTGGAGCCATCACCTGCTACATCCCAGGTACACATTAGCAGGAAGCTGAGATGGATATCAGAGCCAAGACTGGAGCCTAGGCACCTGGATATGGGCTTGGGGTCCTGCCACTCATGTGGGAAACCCAGATGGAGTTCTATGCTCCTGGCTTTGGCCTGGCCCAGCCCTGGCCATTGTGGCCGTTTTGGAAGTGAACCAGCAGATGGAAGATATCTGTATCTTTCTGTAACACTGTCTTTCAAATAAATAAATAAATCCTAAAAAAAAAAAAAGTTGGGAATTAGCCCCCTAAATATTCCTTTCTCTCCCTTTAAATTCTGCTTGTCTCATGCTGCTTTGAATGTCAGCCACCACCTTCCCAGTGGGTTTGAAGGAAGAAATGAGCCCAGTGGGTTTGTCCCCGGGGGCATTTCCTGGGAGCCAAGGGCAGCAGGAGACAGGTGTGGGGAACAGCGAGGCTGAGTGACACGCAGCTGTCCCTCCGAGTTCACAGTCTGGTGGGAGAGCCGCTGTCGGCGCCGCCGGTTACAGGCCGAGCGAGGACTGTTTAGAGCCACGTTCGCACTACACTGTCAGTGCAGAGGAAGGAGCCGCTTCGCTGCCCTGGTCCTCAGCTTCCATGACTATAAATGGAGGAGAAAATCTATCCTGCGCCTTCTGATGACTCAAGACTGGACAGAAGGGTGCTTGGGTTTCTTTTGAGAGGACAGGAACCCCAGTGGCCAGAAAAATCCAGATCTACTTGTTCATCAACCTTTCCTCCCCCAAGCCCTCCAGATCTGCCCACAAGGGGAAGGCTCTGTTGGCTGCTCTCCTCCCTCCCTCTGAACAGTTTTGAGCAGGAGGAAGCAGAGACGGCTCCGACCCCCACTTCCAGGTGGGTTGGGGCTCCCCACACAGGTACACAGGACCTTTCACCACCCAGAGCATCCCACGCAGTGCTGGCCCGAACTGTCACAGACAAACTCCGCGGACATACTCTGGGCTTCCTGCGGTTCCTCCCCTCTCGGGAGCGCTCTGCTTACTGTTTATTGCTTTATGGCCCCAGACTGCTGAGCTGTGCCGACCTCTGGTCAGGGCTCTCCAGTCATGCTCCCACTCCACTGAGACCAAGTCCAGCGGATCCAGCCCTGCCTAACTCAGAGACACCAGCCACTCCCAGAGCCACGCTTCACATCGCTTGCCCATGGACTTTCTCCCTTCTCCCTAGGGCCCCGGACCCCTGACTCCTTAACACTCAAAGTTGGTAGATGGGACCAGTGCTGTGGCGTAGCAGGTAGAGCCGCCCCCTGCAGTGCCCACATCCCATTTAGGCGCTGGTTCGAGTCCTGGCTGCTCCACTTCCGATCCAGTTCCTTGCTGTGGCCTGGGAAAGTAGTAGAAGATGGACCAAGTGCTTGGGCCCCTGTACCCACATGGGAAACCTGGAGGAGGCGCCTGGCTCCTGGCTTTGGATCGGCGCAGTTCTGATCATTGCGGCCAACTTGGGGGTGCACCAGCAGATGGAAGACTCTCTCTCTCTGCCTCTCCTTCTCTCTCTGTGTAACTCTGACTTTCAAATAAATAAATAAATCTTTAAAAAAAGTTGGTAGACACAGAAACGACTTTCACTGGCATCCCTGGGCAGCTTCCTCGGTACACACCAGCCAGAAGGAATGCTCCCAGGCTACGGAAGGCACCTTCCCCTCCGTCTCAGTCACTTTGGGCTCCCTGGGATGGGCCCACCAGACATCAAGGAGTTGCGGCTGGCACCTGCGCCAGAACGAGGGCTGTGCCTCCATCCTTACCTCCTCGGCGTTCTCGCCGCCACCATCCTTGCCCGAGCTGCTGGGCTTGGCGCTGCCTTTGGCAAGCTTAGGGGGCTCCTGAAGAGAGAAGATGGCAAAGGGTGAGCAGCTGCCGGGGGGAAAGGAGAAGCCTGGTGTGGACCGCTTAGGTCTGTATTGCAAATACCCTCAGTTCAGCGGAATCCACCCGGTTCGAAGTGACCTTGCATCTGGTCCTGGGTGGGGGGAGGGCTGAACACAAAGTAGCTCTTCAGTCCCTCCAAGCAGTTTAGAACCCGGGTAGGAAGGCCTCCCTGACACAACACTGCAAGCATCCCTGCGCCCTTTTATCTGCCACCTCACTGGGCTGGTGCGTGAGTTAGGCCTGGGAGGGCCTTTGGGCAGGAAGAACCAAAGTGAGGAGGCTCAAGGGAAAAGTGTCAGGCGCCGGGCTGTGCAGGTGGGCTTCTGGCTAAGGGGGTCTAAGAGATGCCAGAGGCTTTCACACTGGAGGGGCGGAAGTCGCCTCAGGGCCATCTGCAAAGATTGGGAGGCATTTTTTGGACGCTGCAAATAGCGTCCAACAAGAGGTTGATCCTGATGTTCAAGCGGTAGGGACCAGGATGCTAATAGGAGTTTTCCTACCCCAGATGTGAAGAGCACCTCAGTGGGCAGCATGGGGGACAGGGACGGGGCAAAGCGCTGAATGGTTACAAAGAGTGAGCACTCGGCTGAAGCCTCCCTCCGGAGCCTGGCAGCTGGCTCCATCACCTCTTCCTATGCTTCTGGCCAAAAAAAAAAAAAAAAAAAAAAAAAGAAGAAGAAGAAGAAGAAGAAGAAAAGACCTGGGGATTTCGGTCTGACCACAGGCTGTCCACGTGCGGTGGCAGCTCCCACAGCTCCCGAGACCATCCATCCACTCAACAGGGCCGCGCGGCGTGCGTGGCCCTCACAAGGCTGTCCTGGTGGATCTGGTTCAGCTGCGAATGCCAGCCTTTAGGAGGGGCTCTGACAAATCCTAGCTTTCTTAAGGCAAAACGCAATCCGGACTGGGAGTGGATTCAAACGCGAGTCTCCCAAGTGCAACAGCTGCAGCAACCGGGATAGTTAACAATGGGAGGGAGGGAGGGAGGAGTCCTGCGGGGTGGGGGAGCAAGATGGAGTTCAACAAACCAACCAAGGGCTGCCGTGTGGACCAATGACAAGACTTGTCCGTGCAGATCCAGGGGCACGAGAACAACGAGTTAAAGTTTCTGGAAGACAGGCTGAGGCTCCCAACAAGAGGCACCGAAGAAAGTGGCCACCCAGGGAAGCCATCAGGCAGAGGCCGGGTCACCTCCCCTCCGCCGTGTGGCCGGAGGGATTCCAGCCTGCAGAACGGACTGGCCTGGAGGAACCTGGAAATCACTTCCAGCTCTGAGACTCTGCACCGCCATGGCAGCCAGGCCCCTTCAGCAAGCAGTGTTAACATCAAGTGACTGTGACTATGGGGGCAAAAGGATTTCAGGGAGAAGAGAGCTCTGCGTGGGCTGGAGTCGGGGGAAGGCTTCATGGGGGTGGGGAGGAAGCTGGGTGCACAGCAGCTCCACACAGCGCACAACAGGGAAGGAGTCGCTTCTTTGGGCTGAGTACTCTCCCAACCGCCTTCTGCCAAGGCTGGCCACTCGGCCCCTCATCTGGGGCTCAGGGCGTGAGGTGGACAGAAAAAGGAGGGGGGCTGCAGACAGGACACAAGGCTGCGGGGACTGCACACCCCTCAGCCACAGGCCCTTGGGACAAAGCTGTGCCATCTTCACACAGGTCTCCTCGCTCTACTTCATCGTCAGCTGCTGTTCTCTTCTGCACCCCTCCACCCACCCTACGGCACTCAGCACAATGCCTCAGACATCGCTCTCAGGGAGTATGCCTGAGACAGATCCCACTGCCTTGCTGTGGGGGTGTGAGTGGGCAGGGGGAACCGGGCCCACCAGCCCTGCTCCCTGGCTCCTGCAGAACAGGTGAACAACACGTGCCTCAGACGCGCCCAGCAGTCCCCGTGCTGCTGCAGGATACTGAGGTTTGGGGCCAGCCCTGTGTTTTAGGCCCAACTCTTACTAGCCTGACAACCACTGGAGGGTAACTGGCCTGGGTGAGCCTCATCTATTAAGTGATGACAGTCACAATACCCACTTCCCTTAACGCAATGCCTGGTACATGAATGTTAGCCAGTATCATCACTTTTATTACAATCAAGAAGGAAACTGGGAGGGAGCAGGGGCGTAGCATTCAGAAACATAAAAGAGCTAAGTCCCAGGTAAGAACATGAGAGAAGGAGAAGGACCATGAAGCCCTCCCAAGAGACTGACTCAGCATCAGCCCACTAAGTACCTACTGTGTACAAAGGAGACACCACAACACAACGAAGCTTGGTTATTATCTCAAGGGGGAAGAAAATTAATTCCAGTTGAGGAGCGAACAGAGAAGGGCTGTAAGTGGTTTACCAAGTGTTCTGTGAATCCACAGGAGGAAGCAGAGCTCACTCCTGAAGGGGGGCTCCAAGGAGGGGCAATGCCCAGGATCGCGACCAGCAGGGATAAGAGAAAGAGAACAGGCGACAGCTGAGCAATAGAGATCCTCCACCCAACTCCCTTCGCTCTGTGGCCCCACGGGATCCAGGCAAACCTCAGGCACATCGTCAGCCCAGTCACCCCCAGAAATGGTCAGCCACTAAAGCAGGCCAAACGCTGCCAATACTCAAAAGGAGAAAGTTACAGGGCTCAAGGTTACATCTGGCTCCTTGCTCCTCAGTCCTTCCTGGACCCTTTCCCCACCACACACTTAACACCTGTGGTCCCAGCAAGTCTAAGACCTTCTCTTCTTCTTCTTCTTCTTCTCAAACTCCTAGTAGGCAAAGACTTTCGGCAGATGGACAACATCTGGTCCATCAGACTAGAAACTACAGATGGGCGGGGACCTCACCGGCTTCCCCTGAACTCCATGCCCCTTAGCCCCTAATGTGCCTGACCTATGTCTGCAGCATCTACAGCCAAAGTGCCCAAAGCATCTTGGCAAGCCCACTCCCTACAGACAGGGCCTGGGTGGGGCACACAACCCCGTCCCACTTAGCACCGCAGGAGCCTCAGCGCCCAGCACACCATCACCAACCCTCTACTCAGACTCCCAAGCAGGTGCTGAGAGGTTGTGTGGACAACCCAGAGCCAAAGCTGCCTGACCTAACAAGCCCCGGATAAAGGGTTGCATTGATAAGGCCACAGGATGGCAGCACGGCAATCCAAGCCAATCAGAGGGCAACCGAGAGCAACGCACCTCTGGGCTCATCAAGAGGGTGGCCGGAGCCAGTCCCCAGCACCAGGGGCCAGCCCCAGGGGAGGAGAAGCTGGGGGAGGCTAGAACTGGTATCCTAGCATCCTCTGTGTGAGTCTGTACCTCAAAGGAGCCACACCTCTGAGTCAGACCTCAGCAGCCGCAGGAAACAAGGAGAGGAAGAGGCAGAGATGAGGAACAGGGGAAGGTGGCATGCAGGTAGGAGGGGAAGGTGAAGGAAGCCAACGGCAAAGAACGGCCTGTGTCAGGACAGCACCACAAAGGCATGGCTGTCCAGGGCCAGCTAGCCTGCAGGATAAGGAGGAAAGCAAATCTGACAATGTGGACACATTCCTGATTTGAAGGTAGCATGGCCCAGAAAGGGCAGGAATCCAGCACTCGTGCAAAATTAAAAAAAAAAAATTAAAAAAAAAAAAAAGAAGATGTAAAGGTTATCCTAGGATTAGGAATAAGGGGAGGAGCCTGCTCAGATTAGGAGTGATGTTGCTGCAGGCTGAACCTAGGCACCAGTCGATGCCTGCTAGGAGGGCTTTGGGACAGAAGAGGCCTTTAGGTCAGATGCCTTGATACTGCAGCTGGGCCTCCGGCAGGCTGTGTGACCTTGGACAAGTCCCTTTCCCTGCCCGGGCCTCAGTCTCCTCATCTGTACCTTAAAGGGTTGCACTGCACGCGCCCGGGGCCCCTTCCAGCCCTGACGTTCTGAGGTTCCATCAACAGAAGCACAAGCTTCCAAGTTTGTGTGTGGAAGGAAGACTAGAGGGAGGGGCCTAGGCCAGATCTGGGTGGGGGAGAGAGCGAGCTGCACTGTTCTAGGTCAGGGGGCTTGGCGTGGAGGGAGACGGGGTTGTAGGAGCCAGTGGAGAGGCCGTCCCGGGCGCGTGAGAGCAGAGAAGGGGCTGCGCAGGGCGGGGGGAGGGGGCAGTGCAGGAGGGAGGTGCAGTCTCTGCTGAGGGGCTGTCCCACGTCGGTGGGGAAGGGGGCGGGGAGGGGGAGTCAGGGAAGGGAGAAAGCAGGGGAGTGACCGCGGAGTGGGGCAGATTTGGAGGGAGGAGGTTACCCTAGGCGGGGGTGGGAGGAGCGAGGAAGGGAGGGAGGTGCACGTCGGGGGGAATCTGACGGGGCAAGGTGGGGGAGCTGTCCCAGCTGCGGCACGGGATGGGGTTGCAGCGAGCCGCGGAGGCGGAGGGCTGGCCCCGGGAGTCCTGCGGAGGCCGGCGGGAGGGTCAGTCCTGGGCTGTCCCGGGCCTGGCTCAGGCCCCTCCCAGAGCTCCGCGCAGGCCCCAAGGCGGAGGCGCGAGAAAAAGGGCCACGCTCACCTTCTCCTTCTTCAGTTTATAGGGCATCTCGGCCCGTCCGGACCCGGCCCGGCTCCTGCGGCCCCGCTCCGGCTCCGGCTCTGCTCGGCCGCACTCGGCCCGCTCGGCGTCTCTCCGCCACCGCCTGCGCGCTGCGCCCGGGTCGAGCGGTCTCTGAGCCTCCAATTGGCCCGAACTCTTACAAACCTGCCTGACAACCAGGCGCCGCCTCCTCGGATTGGCCATTGGAGCCGAGCTGCTTCCTTTTTTTCTCATTGGAAAGAAAGAGTACAAACCGCCAGGGTTCGGCTCCCTGAATTGGTTGGGGAGGGAGATCCCGCCCTAAAGTGGGTTGAGCTTAGCGAAGGAGGCGGGGGTAAAGGGAAACCCAAGCTTGCCGTGGACTGCTGCACTTCGGCGTCTGGGGTGCGTCGGCCTCGGCCATTCCTCGCAGCCCTTGCGG